ATAATTGTGATCGGAACGGTTAGGGAAACAGGGGGAAAACATTCCCTACTCAATGACCTGTATCTGTAGACGAACAGGAATTCGCCCGGATTGATTGTTTCTGATGCGTGCAACGAAACTCTTTTGTTTTACAAAACATACAGTTTGGAAAGAACAATCTGACATTTCTGTATACTCGGAAGTCATAAATAGAAGAAGAGAAATGTGAATGTGTATACGTAAGATAATGTACCATAATCAAATTTCTTCCTCATGTGTCCGGGTGAATTCCGAGCGATGTCACTGATTATATTTTCTGTAAGTCCCCAAACAGCCAGTCCATGATTGGTGGAAATACTCAACCTGAAAACTGTTTGCAGAATGAGCAATTTGAATAAGTAAACGGAAGGTGAAACATTATTATTTAAAAGATTACAATTCTATGAGACAAATGCTCAGTAGACGTTTTTCCAGAGATAATATGCTGTTGACGAGATTATCACAGTACTCGGAACGACTTGACAAAATAAACACGAAGCAAAATAACACGCATAGCACTACTCACAAGCAGTTGTGAGTTAAATGCGAGTTATCAATCCAGGCTTGTAGGTTCATTGGCGAATCAGCCCGTAACCTGCATTAAAGTCCTGACTTGGTGCGAGGCTTTTGATTGGAGTTGACCGATTGTCATTTGTGTCTCTCTTCGTTGCTGTCGGGCCAAATGAACTGACTGACTATCATTGAAGACAACACCTGAATAAAACATGACTTGGCAATTTTGGTCAATCATAGCATGAATTGGTTGGCACAGCGGTAACACACGCCTTCTGTGCGATGGGTCCTGAATTCAAATCCCGGACGGGATGATGGTTGTGCACTACTGATGAGCTCTAATAAGAGCGAAACTTGAGTCTAGTGCTTCTGAGTGTATGGTCGAATCGATGCACTTAGGATTGTGCTTGAAATGGAAGTCCGAAGGATAGTCAGTTCAAATCAATTAATATGAATTGTCCCACACCACTACTCACAAGTACTTGTGAATTGAATGCGAAAATAGTACCTTAGGGAATAGAAACAATGACGGATGGACAGACGTTTGACGAGTTCCAATATTAGGATGAAATCTGTGTTTATGCTGTATGGAGAAAAATTACGGAAAAGAATACTGAAGTTTGGCGTGAGACGAAGCACACAGTCACACACAATTGAGAACTGCACCGGATTGCCCGGTTCGGAACAGAGAGCGTTTGAGCCAGTTAGTGTAGGAGTGTAAACGGGGCAAGAATGCTGTGTTTTCAATGAAACGACTTCCAGATAAGGCGTGTGTCCAGATTCGAAAACAAGTCACAGGCCAATGACGAGATCGAGCATTTTTCTAGAAGTGCTGGATAACAGGAGCTGGTTTTGGGGACCTCAAGGTACCTCAGTATATATATATATATATATATATATATATATTCGTCACAATGACCTTGTTTACAGTACCGGGTGATGTTTGAATGAACAGCTCTTCCTGGGTATAGGTGTGGGAATGAATTGATAAAAGATTGCCTGACGAGCGGCGAGCACTGCGAAAGCAGTCGCGTGCTTCCAGGGAAATTTGGTTCAGTCATTCACATACTACTAATTATGATATATGTATGTATAGCACAGAAAGTACCTATAACCCCGACGGTTTTCCAAATTTTCTCGATAGTTAAACAGAATGGTTAAATTTGGCATGATGATTAAGCAGTTTGCACCGGCAGTACACCAATAAATAAAATGTTCCAAATTTCGCTGACCTCAGCACGCACCTGGACCGGCATAACTAAAATTTTCTTGTCTAGGCTAGTTGTGGCTAAAACCTTGGGCGTCAGCGCTAACGGAGTGTGGGTCGAGGCTAGGAAACTGCTACTTTTGGCTGAAGCTTGATGAGAAAACAGATGTAGTTATCCGGAAAACGCGTAAGTTAAACTGCTTCTCGTCACCGAATATCACACTGTTCGCATTTGAAAGCCCAGTTGATGTGATCCAGCTTGATCCGCAGTATGGCAATCGGCTATCTGCGGGACTGTTTTTATCTTTCTGGATATTAAGTTCGATGAATTTCGGAAGAGCTGCTATACACACCACAAACGCTTTCACACACACAAATAGAAGGCTTACGGTCAACTGAACGCACTTATTACCCGTTTAGAAATGGCATCTGAGATCTCTCTCTTGCTTTGATCAGAGATCTTTTGTTCAATTCCGTGTTTATTCTCCGAGTCCAACTGATGCGAGTTCATCATAGCTGCTATCGACAACCTGCTGCGATCGACCTATTTTTCAGCCACCTTGAGAACACTGTTACCTTAGCGTTTGCAGGACAGTATTCTTCCTTTTTCCAATGTCATTAGCCTTTGTTGTGGCCTACAACTGACTTATACGTTTGTCATACAGTCCTGTGAACAGATTGATTGATCGATCGATTGGTTGATCGATTGACTGACTGTTTGAATACCGTCCGCGTCGGCATTCAAATGTAATGTGACGTGTCAACCTGCATGCCTGCCTTTCTACACGCTGCTCTTTCCTGTTTGTTCCCCAGTTTGGGAACCGGCTACATATTTCCTGTTTACAATAAACGTATTGCTCAATTTGTTGTTTGCTCATCTTCTTACTTAATTTGGTACACAACAGCCTTAAATCGCATGTTATCATTCTTCTGTTTTGACAACTTCACCGATCCATGAACTCAACCACAAAGTATGGCCTCAGTGGCTGCCGTTCACAAGCGGTGATCAACTTGCATATTGTTTAGTATTGTCCTATCGGGCTTCTAAGGCACGACTGGGCTGTACAAGTTACGTGGCGCTCTGCTTAGGCCATTCGCATTTTCCAACCTGAGAGAAGGATGGGGTACATTTTTCCCGATAAGGTCGTCTAGCAAAGTCATATTTCGAATTCGTTCAATCTCACTGAACATTTATGCGTTGTCACACCATGCTGTGACTACTCTGCGTCGTTTGTTTATAGAAATAATTGCGAAAAAGCGGAGGGGGACTGAGCGGAAGATTAATAGTGCTTCATGCACTATTTCACCAATTCGCATAGGTGGGTAACGGACACAAACTATGAAGATACGTCATTTAGACCGTTGAACGCGAGCTGTGAGAATCCGTGGGGAAGACAACCCATGGGTTGTGTCCTCTGGGTACATTATCGGTATGTATTTCTTGCCTTGTGACCAGTCACCCTCGTCCTCTCCTGCTCCTGACAAATAACTCTCATGTATTCAAGCACCTCAGTACGGTCTCAGCTGAGGAAGCCGTTTTCATTACCACCACGGTCTGAGATTATTATCGGGTTGATAAATCATCGGCAGTTCATTCAGGGGAGAGTTCGGAATAAAAACCGCATTCTAAATTGAGCAAAAATAGGCATACGAACTACACTCATGCTTGTTGAATGTGGTGGTGTCCGACTTGATTGAGTACCGAGGTGTTATGAGGCAACCGGAGTGTTTAATCCTGTCCCATCAAGGTGCACAATCCGATAAGCTAGACACAGAGGGGCTAATAGATTGCGGTTTTCACACACTACCCCCGTGGTCTTGCGGGTCAGGCTCCGGTTGCGTATTCCCCAAGGTAAGTCTTCTGCTTTAGACTGAACAAACCGGTAGTATCCACCACCTCGAGTGATTTTCCCATATTATAAAGATTTCGTATCGCAATTTGTTTAACAAACAGAGTAGATTTATATGCTTAAAAATGACTCTTCAGGTGCATATAACGTTCAATTTGATTTGAGTTTAGTTGTGTGAAATACATTATATCATGCAACAGAAATGTTTCACAGCGATCCGAATTCCAGGCAAACGTGTGTAACAATTGGTCTCATCCTGTGAACAATACGGTGGAAGAAAGTAACCACAACCTCGCTAATAGTAGAAGTAGGCTTATCAGTAAGATAAAACAAGACCGATAACCGAGGAGTTTAGGGTGATTATTGAATAAAACAGTGTATTCCACATGCTGTGGACTGGAAAATTGTCTGAGAGTTGTTTGACCGTTTCGTCAAATGAAAAGTCTCTGGGGAACTTGGTTAGGATAGTGTTTTTGTACCTCTCGTGTTCTTTGGCACCGAGTTTACGGATGAGTAATCGGTCCTTCCAATCGTCAGATTCATTGGCAAATTCAACTCGGAAATTGTCTTCCCACCTGGTGAACCACGAGTCGAATGTGATGCCAGAGTCTGGATCGGTGATACTCGCCGCGACCACCTCTGCTGGTGTGGCCTGTCTGGAACTGGAGAAGTTCGGTGACTGAAGACTGAGTGACC